CGCCGGGCAGCAGCTCCGGGGGGGGAGCAGGGGCCCCCCCGCCTCGCTCCTGCCGTAAATAAACAGGGACAAGTCCTCCGTGCCTCTTTAGGGCCTCGCTACCGCTCCAGTGTGTTGCCGCCTCAGCACTAGCTAGGGGAGCCCAGCTGGTGCCCGGGTGCTCCCACAGCCCATCCGTGAATGCACAGGCTTCCCCCCGCGTTATCCCGTAGGCATGCATGCCCGTGGCCGCGTGCCCCTCTGCCATTGTTTCCCAGCTGCTCAGCCACGGAAAAGGGTTCGGAGCAAACAGAAATGAAAATACATAACGAAGGAAGTGGTTGCACGGATTGGGCCATTGGGAGCTAGTGGCTATTTGGCGTGAAGTTGTTTTTTTTGCTTGTGAGGTGTTTGCATCCTTACAAACAAGCTATTGAAAAGAGAGAGGCTGGTCTGCAGCCAGCTCCCGCAGCTGAGAGCTCGTCCTCAGCCTGGCCGCAGGGAGGGGATGGCGGCACCTGGGTTTTTCCAGGCTGACCCACAGTGTCCAAAAAGTGTCACAGTAAAAAGGACTCTGAGTCTTTCAGTGACTCACGCAGGTCACAGGCAGTGTCTGTGTCTAGAGCCAAACCTCCCCACAGGCCAGGATGAGCTCTCCGGCACAGCCCTTCGCACTGGGTCCATTTCTGGGGGTGTGAGCCAGTGCCCCCAGCTGAGGTGCAGGGGCTGATGTAGGCTGGGCAGCGCAGCATGGGGGCCCGCACGCATCTGCCCCGCCAGTGCTGGTGCCAGGAAGGCCAGCCTGCCCCGCTGCCTTCCCTGCCTGCATCCCATCCTGCCCGTGGACAGGCTGGGCAGGGGGGCTGTGCTGGGGGCCCCGAGCCAAGAGCAGGAAACCGCCCTGCCTCGTCCCTGCGTTGGAGGGATGCTGCAGCATGCGGAAACGGTTGTAGATGGATAAGTTGGGCAGCAACATGGCAGGAGGAGCCAGCGATGGGAAGAGGCAGAAGCATTAATGCCCAGGCAGGTCTTCAGGGGAGAAGCCAATACACAGTGATGTCCCCTGGCTGGGTGGGTGGCCAGGGTAAAGCCACCCCATGAGAATGGTTCCCAGGCTGGCCCACGCCATATGGGCTTAGGGGGAAACATGAGGCCATGGGAGAGACCCGCACATGGCTGGGCAGCGAGGGCTTTACCTGGTTGTGACCCTGGGGACACAGATGTTGTTGTTCCTCCCTTGCAGGTGGCAGCAGGGATTCAGTCCTCGCCCAGGCACTTTCTGAAGCAGTGAAACACCTGGCTGGGTAGTCTTTGGGCTGCCATTGCAGTGATGTCAGGAGTTCCCCAGCTCCATCCTTGGGCAGGCGCTCCTACTGCTGCGTCCAACAAAGCCATCACCCCTCGAGGCACATCACAGCTGCTTTGCTCCCATCAGCATCTTGTGGCTGATCATGCCAGGGCAAGAACCACGCTCCTGCGGCTACAGAGGGAGTCCCGGCAGGGCAGTGCTCCCCCTTTGGACAGCATCCTCACCCCTCTGGGGCCGGCACAGTGGGGCGGCATCCCTGGCCACCCGGCCCACCCGGGGC